TAGGCTATGAAGGGACAAGTCTAGTTCAATGTTTCTAACTACTACTAGTAGTGTATAGGCTATGAAGGGACAAGTCTAGTTCAATGTTTCTAACTACTAAACAAAGGACAGGTCTAGTTGAACTTGACACTACTACTAGTAGTATGGGTTCAACAAGTTACATGTTAATAGTAGATAACTAGCTACTAGCTACTGCATGGGCCCGAACAGTAATTTTTTTCAGCACTGTACAAAGCACTGAGTGTATGTGAAGGGTCAGTCTATGGGAAACGGTCACTTAACGTGTGGTTGGAATCTGGCCGGTCTAGACACCCGCTAAGTTTTATATGTCTGGGGTAGCTTGAAGAATGAGATATCCCCATAAGGATCCCTTGCGATGCACCCCTGATACTCTGTAATAAGGGCCCTGGGCAGGTGGGCAGAGCTGGGAACACAGATAGTGAGAACCCACTGCTACAGGTACACACAGTCGGTGGCATAAACAAGCCCTTATCAAGATCAGAGCTCACACCGGCCTTATGAGGTCTGAACTTTACAAAATACAAAAAAAAACATAAAAAATTAACTAATACATTCCACGTCATTTCACAAACCAAAGTTACCATGGTGTCCACATGTAAGTGTACCCGTCACGTACACAATCAATAACATTTCTTTAAAAATGACAATAGGGTCCCCTTTTGAATGAGATATTCCAGGAGGCAAAACCCCCCTATGGCTATGCTGGAAGCTGCTCAGGTGGCACAAACTAGTTCACCGAGCCTCCCCCCGTGGTATTAGTATGTGACATAGTCAGGAGTTGTCTGCTTCCATCGAGCCTTTCAACACAGGTGTTCTGCTTGGTGACGGGACCTTTATAAGCTTAAAAACAACTATCAATATAAAACATATATAAAATGATTACATTTATTCATCTCATAGTACTGAACGATAATAAACCAGATATTTATTATTAACTAAAAGTAAAATATAAATCTGAGATATAATTAGAAATCTTTATTCAAAATGGTCGTCTTTTGTCACAGACAAGAGTATGCATGCTACGTCTTAAAGGGCCACTCCACCCAAAGCCAATACACCTAGTTATTGCTTAAAGCCAATGTAGGTTGGATTATCTCTGCATGTCCCCCCTCTTCCTGGTAGATCTTCCATTTATCCTAGGGCAGGGGTAGGCAACTTCGCCCCTCCAGCTTTTGTGGAGTCCCGTGAGTCATTGCAGGACTGTGACTGCCACAAGCATGGCTCCCAGAGGCAGAGACATGATGGGATTTGCAGAACAGAGGTTGCCTAGCCCTGGTCTAGAGTATGTGGAACCCAGCAGCAGGAAGGAGCCTTCATACCATGAAGGAACACCTTCTGTGGAGTCCCATGAGTCATTGCAGGACTGTGACTGCCACAAGCATGGCTCCCAGAGGCAGAGACATGATGGGATTTGCAGAACAGAGGTTGCCTAGCCCTGGTCTAGAGTATGTGGAACCCAGCAGCAGGAAGGAGCCTTCATACCACGAAGGAACAAAGCTGAGAACTGCCAGTATCTCCTTGGGATGTATGAAGCCATCGGGTGACACCAGCACCTACTTATAACTAAAAGTATGTTTTGGGTGAACTGGCCCTTTAAGATAAAAAAAATAAAAGTAAAGTGACTCAGTGTCTCAGATTAGGTTTTTAGGATTGCTATGCAAAAACCTAAATGTAAAAGGGTCCTCCATTGTGTAGGGCCCATTCACACCACAATGCACAGACGTGCGCTGACATGCTTTTGTTCCGAATTTTACTGCCCATATGTTTTATTTTTTTTCTCTACAGGTCACATTAAGGGTCAAAATACAAACTTTTCAATTTTTTTAAAAATTAGCTTGTAACACAACGCAAAAAAAAAAAGCGCCAACAACTCACTGGTATGAATGGAGCCCTAATGGACATGTAGTGCCAATGCGGGGTTAATAAAAAAGTTCTACTTTCATTTGAGAGAAAAAACAAAAGTTCAAATTCATCAAATGTTTATACTTCCCAAAAAAGTGGTTTCCCCCATGGCGGTCAATCCTACACACAGCGGTAAGAAAATGTCGACCTTAGCATGCAATAAAAAGAGAAACGATACAAAAGAAAGTGAATTTGCACAGCGGGGCCTTAAAGGAGAACTATGAGGGGGGAGGGGGGGTGCTTTTCACTCACCTCATAGTTCTAGCCGACCTGTGACAATGAGACTGTCACAGGTCGGCTCAGTAGATCGCGAGGTGAGAGAACACATACCGGCGTTCGCTCATCTCTCGATCCTGTCACGGCTCTCTGCTGTGACAGAGGAGGGGCTAGATTCCCCCCGCTCCGATCTGCCAGCGCTGACTGGCGGAACGGACGGGGGAGGGGGCGGGTACAGCTGGCTCTGTCTCTAGATAGGCAGAGCCAGCTGTCACTCACGCAGCTGGGCGGATCCCGTCATCTACGTCGGGATCCGCTCCGGCTGCGGCGTCTCAGTATACCGCGAGCTGTAGCTCCCTATATACTGAGCTTAGGGTGACGGTAGGACGCTAGTTTGTGTCCTCCCGTTACCCCAAGGAGAACTATGGGGAAAAACACTGACCCCATAGTTCTCCATTAAAGTGCGCCCGATATCCGTGCACAGAAAGCAGCCATGGCCGGTCACGGCAATGTACATCCTGTCTGAAGAGATGACTTAATGGTGTTCAGTGAGCTTATCAGCTGTATTCTTATAGATACAGGCCAGGTCTACGCCATGGACGCCTCGTCTGAGCTATAGACAGGTCCACTTTATGAATGGATTGAATGGCCTGCGATGTATGTGAAACATTTTGTAAGAAGGAAACCCGATACAATGTAACCGGCACAGAGACAGATACTTATCAGTGATAGAAATGTACACAGAAGGACAGATCAGAATTATCCGCCTCAAGGCGGCAGCCCCCGGACACAGAGAAGGGAACCTCTCCTCCCGGGTCGGCTTCTGCAGATTCAACATTTTTTCTAGAATTAAAAAAAAAAAAGGAGACAAAATAAGATTTATATGTCAGAGCTAAATACATGTATAATACTAGTGTGTGACTGTGGGGCGGGCATTAGAGTGTAAGCTCCTCTGTACAGGGACTGATGTGGCTGTGGGGGGGCATTAGAGTGTAAGCTCCTCTGTACAGGGACTGATGTGGCTGTGGGGGGGCATTAGAGTGTAAGCTCCTCTGTACAGGGACTGATGTGGCTGTGGGGGGGCATTAGAGTGTAAGCTCCTCTGTACAGGGACTGATGTGGCTGTGGGGGGGCATTAGAGTGTAAGCTCCTCTGTACAGGGACTGATGTGGCTGTGGGGGGGCATTAGAGTGTAAGCTCCTCTGTACAGGGACTGATGTGGCTGTGGGGGGGCATTAGAGTGTAAGCTCCTCTGTACAGGGACTGATGTGGCTGTGGGGGGGCATTAGAGTGTAAGCTCCTCTGTACAGGGACTGATGTGGCTGTGGGGGGGCATTAGAGTGTAAGCTCCTCTGTACAGGGACTGATGTGGCTGTGGGGGGGCATTAGAGTGTAAGCTCCTCTGTACAGGGACTGATGTGGCTGTGGGGGGGCATTAGAGTGTAAGCTCCTCTGTACAGGGACTGATGTGGCTGTGGGGGGGCATTAGAGTGTAAGCTCCTCTGTACAGGGACTGATGTGGCTGTGGGGGGGCATTAGAGTGTAAGCTCCTCTGTACAGGGACTGATGTGGCTGTGGGGGGGCATTAGAGTGTAAGCTCCTCTGTACAGGGACTGATGTGGCTGTGGGGGGGCATTAGAGTGTAAGCTCCTCTGTACAGGGACTGATGTGGCTGTGGGGGGGCATTAGAGTGTAAGCTCCTCTGTACAGGGACTGATGTGGCTGTGGGGGGGCATTAGAGTGTAAGCTCCTCTGTACAGGGACTGATGTGGCTGTGGGGGGGCATTAGAGTGTAAGCTCCTCTGTACAGGGACTGATGTGGCTGTGGGGGGGCATTAGAGTGTAAGCTCCTCTGTACAGGGACTGATGTGGCTGTGGGGGGGCATTAGAGTGTAAGCTCCTCTGTACAGGGACTGATGTGGCTGTGGGGGGGCATTAGAGTGTAAGCTCCTCTGTACAGGGACTGATGTGGCTGTGGGGGGGCATTAGAGTGTAAGCTCCTCTGTACAGGGACTGATGTGGCTGTGGGGGGGCATTAGAGTGTAAGCTCCTCTGTACAGGGACTGATGTGGCTGTGGGGGGGCATTAGAGTGTAAGCTCCTCTGTACAGGGACTGATGTGGCTGTGGGGGGGCATTAGAGTGTAAGCTCCTCTGTACAGGGACTGATGTGGCTGTGGGGGGGCATTAGAGTGTAAGCTCCTCTGTACAGGGACTGATGTGGCTGTGGGGGGGCATTAGAGTGTAAGCTCCTCTGTACAGGGACTGATGTGGCTGTGGGGGGGCATTAGAGTGTAAGCTCCTCTGTACAGGGACTGATGTGGCTGTGGGGGGGCATTAGAGTGTAAGCTCCTCTGTACAGGGACTGATGTGGCTGTGGGGGGGCATTAGAGTGTAAGCTCCTCTGTACAGGGACTGATGTGGCTGTGGGGGGGCATTAGAGTGTAAGCTCCTCTGTACAGGGACTGATGTGGCTGTGGGGGGGCATTAGAGTGTAAGCTCCTCTGTACAGGGACTGATGTGGCTGTGGGGGGGCATTAGAGTGTAAGCTCCTCTGTACAGGGACTGATGTGGCTGTGGGGGGGCATTAGAGTGTAAGCTCCTCTGTACAGGGACTGATGTGGCTGTGGGGGGGCATTAGAGTGTAAGCTCCTCTGTACAGGGACTGATGTGGCTGTGGGGGGGCATTAGAGTGTAAGCTCCTCTGTACAGGGACTGATGTGGCTGTGGGGGGGCATTAGAGTGTAAGCTCCTCTGTACAGAGACTGATGTGACTGGCTCAGTGTCCTCTGTACAGCACTCCGGTATAGGTCAGAGCTATATAATTGCATAATAATAACGTGTATTAATCAGTGTTGCTCACCATTTGTTTGCGCAGGCAGTCCATATACTTCTTCGCCCAGCCTGAATTTGGGGGGGCACAGATGTGTCTGTTCTTGTGTGTTGTAAACCTAAAAGGAGAGCAGACAGTTATCATGAGAAGACGTCACAAGTTACATGAACGAAGTTTAACATTCGGTTTGCTCCTCTGCGACCATTTACATTGTTCTGGATTCTACTAGCTGAAACAAAAGGACCAATATGGCCGATCTGCATTGGATGCAGTATAGCTGACCCGGTCCGTCCAGTGGACCCGAAAACCTTCCACTTGCAGCCATCTAGACAGGTGACGTTCCTTGGTGTTGCTGAAAAGGTCAGCATGTTACATAGAGAAATAATGCATTAGGTTCTGTCTTGTCTTGGAAGGCAGCGGCCGGGCATCTGTAACCAGGGTCAGCTACCAGGCTATATATATATATATACGTCTAGATATCTTTAAACATTAGAAACTGGCCATATGTATTCTTCGTACGTAGTAGCAGAATGCATCATAGACTTGGAGGGTGTACACAGAGTATTGTAATAAGTGTTAGTGTAGTGTTGGAGGGGAAGGATGGAAGAGCTGGACCAGCACAGACAGTAATAAGACACTTCCCAGAAGAGGAGAGGGCTGTGACATGCGAAGCAGCGAGCCTGTGGTGGGGAACTGACCACATTATCCAGCAAGTTCAGAGGCGGGCTCCAAGTCAATACAAAAAATTCATTGGAAAGAAATAACTGAGCTAAGACTTTTACGGAGCCGGCAGAAGCAGTTGAGGGCAATGAACCGTCTCCAACAAATGTCAGTCACTTACACAACAGCATCAATGTTGCAGCCGGAGGAGGAGTCCTGTTGGCGGTAGGAGCTGATGAGTCTGTACGGGAACTTTTTCTGATTTGTTGACAAACAACAATCCGAGGGGTTCCTGCTGGCGGCCGACACTGAGGGGGAGAAAGGAGGGTGTGAATACACCGGGTGCTGAAACTACCCAGCATGGTAAAACATAATTAGAGTGTAAGCTCCCCTGTACAGAGACTGATGTGACTGTGGGGGGGGGACATTAGAGTGTAAGCTCCTCTGTACAGAGACTGATGTGACGGGCTCAGTGTTCTCTGTACAGCACTATGGTACATGTCCTATGTATTCTTTTAAACCCTCAGCGGTGGCATTGGCACAAACTGGGGTGCCATTTATTTATAATCACATGCAATATAACGAAGTCTTACTGCAATGAAATAGATCTGGAGGAGCCTCTAAAAGAATCTACCGACTGATAACAATATTACCAATATAAACAGTAACATAAGAAGCAGTAATACATGTAAAACACACAAAGGCTAAAACATCCCATAATAATCTCAATTGTCATTACTGGAGAATAGACCGGCTGTATGCAACAACAAATACCAACCAATCACAAATTCATTTGTGTTAGCCTGGTCATCCTACAGAGCTGCAGGGCCAATTCTGATTGGCTGGTTTAGGTTGCTGCAATTCGTTTTTTGTTTTTTTTGCTTTAACTGTTACCG